CATTGAGTTTAGATGTGGGAGGTGTGGAAGAGTCTGTGCAGCGTGCTTTGGTGTACATCATAAAATGATTTTTTTCGTATCATGGGGCCCTGAGGGGTAATGGGGATTGGATGGGTGCGAAAGAAGGTATTGGCTGCAACAATGTACAAAACACTTAGTCGTAATATGGGGGTATATGGAAGTAGATGGGAAAGGTTTTTCCTGAAGGATATCGAAGTATGAATGTCAGAGGTTTGTTGGCGTGAGTAAGGAAAAAAAAAAAAAAAAAAAAAAAAAAAAAAAAAAAAAAAAAAAGGGGGGGGGGATGTTTTCGGATTTCAGGGGTTGCATCGGGCTCGTCTCAGAATTTGGGAATGTATGAGGAGTTCCGTGATATGGTGTGAAATGGGGAGCGTAGTTGGGAGTGTGTTTTAAGTAAGTTTGTGGGGGTTTTAAGGGAAAAAATTACGTTTTTTATATGGTTATGGAAATGAGCAATATTTGTGTGCATGTGAAAAGTATACTGTCATACTCAGAATGGTATACTGATGTATGTTATGGATAAGTTTAAATTTGGAATATGTTGTAATGTATTATCAGGATTGGTGGTTGTATTAAAGCAAAGGACATGCGGGCGTGATAAATATGTCTGTGTACCAAATGTACTGCTAATAATGAGATAATGTAATGTGTGTGATTTTTATCATACATCAAGTGTATATAGCAGTATGTAAGAGAGAATTTCATGTACTCAGTATGGGTTTTTATATTGGTATTTGGTGAAGTTCAATGAATATTAATGACGAGTGTTGGGTATATAAGGATGTGTTGATGTACAATGTGTCAAGTAGGGTTAGGATGGTGAGGCAAGAACTGCTGAGGTCTGTAGAATAAGAATATAGTCTTGTTTAAGTTAATGTTTAATAGTAATGACTATGTATATTTCATTATATAGTAGAAGAAGTTTGTTATTTAAAACTGGAAATTATATTTGAAAAATATTACTAAATATACGTGATTGTGTAATTTCGCTTGTGGTGATGAATGTGGTGTATGGACGTGAGGTGGGATGAATGTAGTGTATGGAAGTGAGGTGGGATGAATGTAGTGTATGGAAGTGAGGTGGTAATCATTTGTTATATTGTACTGTGTTTAGTTTTTTTTGTGGTGAGGTTTGGAATTATTTTCAAACCTTTATTTGTTTCGTAATTATTGAGGTGTTTTCGTATATTATTGATATGAAGTTTAATATACAACAATAATAAGTGGTGTAAAGAATTTTTGGATAATTGAGAATGTCTTCGTACATACAATTTTATGTAAATGGTCAATACCTGTGACATTCTTTGGGTTATATTGCATATTGTGTTTATGGCTGCAATTTTGGATGTAATAAACCCACCCGTATATGAAGCTGTGGGCTGTCTTATTTAGTTCTTATGTATAAGTTTAGTGCTACGGTAGGGGAAAGTGGAGTTTTCTTTTGTTATATATAATGGGAAAATGTTTTATTTGCTTACATTGTCTACATGTATAACAGTATTTGCGTTTTTCAATAAAATATAAAAAAAAAAAATTGTTAGGATCCTTAAGGTATTTCTTAGAACGGTGCATGTAAATAATTTTTGTCTGCACTGGCTTTATTAATTATGTAAGAGGAGGAGTTTTGTAGGACATGTTGTTGGATGTGTAGCTGGTGGTAATATGGCTTCAGCTATAGTGTTATTTAAGTACGTGGATTTGATTTGTTTTATAGTATTTAATGGTTAACATGTCTTTGGTTATGTGACGTATGAATAGCATATATGTATATGTGTATTGTGTTTTTTAAATAAAATATAAAAAAAATACTGTAACTGTGGTGCGGGGGGTGGAAACAGAGGGATCGGTGTGTGATGGTTGGTTTGGATTGTTCAGTTGCCTTGGGGGTGTCGTTGGCTGGAGTCCTTCTGCAGGTGTTTCTGGGGGGTGCGCTTGTCCTTCCATTTGATCCTGGGTCATTCTGCTCTCCTTTTTCATTTCCTCCCATTTCTCCTTTCGTTTTTGAACTCTCTCTTTCATTGTCTCCTGTGTGTGTGTGTGTGTGTGCGTGCGTGCGTGTGTGTGTGTGTGTGTGTGTGTGTGTGTGTGTGTGTGTGTGTGTGTGTGTGTGTTGTGCGTGTGTGTTTGTGTGTGTGTGTGTGTGTGTGTGTGTGTGTGTGTGTGTGTGCGTGTGTGTGTGTGTGCAGCACCATCTGCATATATACACTGTTGTTCCAATATCTTCGCGTTAAGTAAAAATACGCTTATCAGAATATACTATGTACAATATCTACTAATTCTACGTTGTTAGTTAATACGTCTAAAGACTTCGTTATGAGAACGTTATCTGTTTTAATAACTTTTCTTAGAGTAAATAAAATAAATTTTGATTGTGTACAGTGCAGTGACACAGCTTGTACCGACCCAGAGATCAGAACATGTATCAAACCGTACACTCTGGAAACAACAGTTAAGTTTAAGGTATTACGGATTTCAACTTTAATGATAATGTTATTGATTCTCCAGAAATAATTTTTAAAGGGGTGGACCGGTAAGCCAGCGGAAGGCCTCGGTCAGATGACCAAAAGCTCCAACAGCGGATCATCATCTGATTAAGACCCGCTCCAGGAATTATTTGTCCTGTTTCCTGACGGACCTTACCTAACCCGGAAATAAATCACCAGAATAATGTAACTTTCACATTGGTACTACACTGGTAGATTATACCGTCAGTAAGACACACAATGATGGTTATAGCATTTTATTGTGTTTCTGCCAGTTGTCACTCTGTGATGTAAACACAGCATGGTAGCCACACAAACCTTCTGTCAGGTAAGATAATTATTTGTTAGACTGGAGAAGAGTGTTATGTTCTGGCTTCCTACTTCACTACATCACTGACACGCTTAACTGAAGAGGAAGAAGTGAGATTATGATTCAGTACTGGTGGTACAACCTGATGGATCTGTACAGTACTGGTGATACAACCTGATGGATCTGTACAGTACTGGTGATACAACCTGATGGATCTGTACAGTACTGGTGATACAACCTGATGGATCTGTACAGTACTGGTGATACAACTTGATGGATCTGTACAGTACTGGTGATACAACCTGATGGATCTGTACAGTACTGGTGATACAACCTGATGGATCTATACAGTATTGGTGATACCAGCTGGTGGGTCTGCATCGTGCTGGCTGTACCAGTTGGTGGGTGTGCATCGTGCTGGCTGTACCAGTTGGTGGGTCTGCATCGTGCTGGTGGTACCAGCTGGTGGGTCTGCATCGTGCTGGCTGTACCAGTTGGTGGGTCTGTGTGGCAGGCAAAGAGTACGTAACCTTTATTCGGCGCACGTACACACCCTCATTTACAGGCTATCTCCCCCAACCAGCGAACCAGGTTGCTAAGAGTTGATGATGGGGCCCCGTCGTTCAACTAGTGACCAGGTTCTAGCCAATAAGAAGATGGTTTTGGCAATCGCAGAGGTTATGTGGGTACCGCTCTCCTGTCTGCCCTTGTCATTCCCATTCTAGAGCTGGTTGAAGCACGGTCTGCTATCTTGTGGCTTCTATTTCTGCTTTGCTTACCGTGGAGTGCACTATACTTATCACTGTACATAGTGTACATATTGCTGTTATAAATTGGTGAAGGATAATATAAGTCTAAACTTTTTCTACTGTGTTTATTTGCTCCCATTACACCCGGGGTAACAGGCCATTTGGAATCCTGGGTTGTAATAGTCTGCATCGTGCTGGTGGTACCAGTTGGTGGGTCTGCATCGTGCTGGTGGTACCAGCTGGTGGGACTGCATCGTGCTGGCTGTACCAGTTGGTGGGTCTGCATCGTGCTGGTGGTACCAGTTGGTGGGTCTGCATCGTGCTGGTGGTACCAGCTGGTGGGTCTGCATCGTGCTGGTGGTACCAGCTGGTGGGTCTGCATCGTGCTGGCTGTACCAGTTGGTGGGTCTGCATCGTGCTGGTGGTACCAGCTGGTGGGTCTGCATCGTGCTGGCTGTACCAGTTGGTGGGTCTGCATCGTGCTGGTGGTACCAGCTGGTGGGTCTGCATCGTGCTGGTGGTACCAGCTGGTGGGTCTGCATCGTGCTGGTGGTACCAGCTGGTGGGTCTGCATCGTGCTGGCTGTACCAGTTGGTGGGTCTGCATCGTGCTGGCTGTACCAGTTGGTGGGTCTGCATCGTGCTGGTGGTACCAGTTGGTGGGTCTGCATCGTGCTGGTGGTACCAGCTAGTGGGTCTGCATGGTGCTGGTGATACCAGCTGGTTGTACCAGCTGGTACAACCAGCGTTCTTTCAGCCTTTATTTGATGTTTTTATTTATTGAAACCTTTTTTTTCACTCTTCATAATATAAAGGAGCCGTGTTTGTAACATTGTGTGTACTCAAGGTGGTACATTGCGTGTACTCAAGGTGGTACATTGTCCATAGTAAACTCAAGATTAGTTTTAATGAACTATTCTTAGTGAATGAAGTGAACAGTGAGCGTGGACTCTCACTGTGGTACTTGTACACTGTGGACCAACACTGTTACCACACATCCACACACCTCACAATATTGTAAGCTCCGTGTTTCAGAGGTTACATTATTGGGCCTGGTATGTACAAGGTTCACGGTTCGAATCCCCGTTCATTCTTCTTTTTTATTGATTTTACTTTGTAAAATCAAACTTGTCAACACTTTCAAACAGACTATTCACTTGAGGGCTTGTTATTATATACCTTATTTTTAAATTATTCCAGTTACTGACTGTAATATTAGCATTATTCTAGTCTCGCTGCATTTCATTATCAATATGACTGCAGTTGATGTTATATTAAATTTGTTATATTTACAAATATTTTTTTTTCCAATTCAAAAAACTTGGACTTAAATTTCTTTGTCAGTAATTTGTGCACATGCGTGTCTGCCTTTATTTATAAGTTTGTTATATGCAGATCTGAGGCTGTTTACACCAGGTAATGAGATACAATCAGAAAATGACACTGTAGTTATTTAATTTTCAAGCTTGAGAGCAACAAGTATGACAGACACTCCAAGTTATAAGGTGGAAACCCAGTTATTAATTCGTATACACCTGTGTATGATAGTAGCATCACACTGGTTTATAATAACACCACTTCTCGCCCATCCTACACTGTCAAGGTTAAAGCAGCCGTCAGCGAAGATAGTCTGTGTCATGTTATTTTTAATATACAGGTGGTGCATGTGTTCCAGAACACTGAGTTCAGCAACACATCGAAAGTCAGCACTATAAGTGAACAGTTGTTTGTTTAGTAGGATGGGACGATGATAATAATAATCTTAGGGTATCAGTTAAAATATGTAAATATATTCATATATTATTTTATAACGGTAGACTACATGTGCTGCAGTGTACGATTATTTAGTACTATTTTATGCAATATACAAAACACCATAATTGTGTGTAACATAAAGGAGGTTTAAATAAGCAAATAACGATGAAACCAATAACAATATGGATAAATATGACCAAAGTTTTTTAGTAAATATGACCAGGACTTATGGAAGTGACCTCTAATCCGTGTCTATCAAAACTTATTACTTCTCTCTCCTTTCTTATCGTAAATCATATTACGTAGTAATATTTCTTCAAAATTAATGGACATGTTTAGCTGCAAAAACGCTGACACAAACCATAAAGCTACCATTACACAAACCAAACAATAAAGTGATCAGAGGCAATATGGAATTTAAGTAAATGTAAAAGAGGCGATCATTATTTCCGACTTGTGCTCTTTTATACCGAGAAGACAAGCCAGGCCGGTGATTACGAACACTACACGGAAGAAAACACTAAAGAAAACACAGAACACGTCCTGGAAAGCTTAAGACGTGTTGCAAGGAGGATGGTAGTGGCAAGAACTGCTGCTGCTGCAGCACCAGGATGTTGCTGCAAGAGGGAATCCCACACGTAGAGTAATGTAGCGCTCCAGGCACATGAGCTGTTCCCAGATGATCATGCAGTGTGAGCCTTCGCCTTCCTGAATCATGCGTAACTGCTGCATCACGACAGCTGTTCGACAGTGAAGTTAGAGTGAATGACAGAATATTTAGGTAAAATCAACACTAGTCTTAATGACTGTTAGGGTTCATTAAGTCTGGCTGTTAATGAAGTGTATACAACCTGTTAATTGATGCGATTTATGTGTATTGTAGTGAAGTTAGGGGAGAGTTTTGGTAGTGAGCACAGTAGAGAGCCTTGGCAGGGAGCTCAACAGAGTGCATTAGTAAGCTCAGAAGAGAGACTGTGTAGTGAGCTCTGAAGAGAGCCTGGGTAGGGAGTTGGGTACTGACACAGGTTGAAGACTCACCCCAAACAGAGAGAGAACCTTGTAATTGTTTACACACTAGCTTCACACTTAACGTTACTGATTGTCTTCCACACCACATGTTTACCCTTCACCTGTCCTCTAACTCTTCACCTGCCTCTCCACCCTCCCTCTAGCCCATCACCTATACCTTCACCCTTTCACTAGTCCGTTCACCCTCCTTTTAACCGTTCTATGCTATGCTATGCTATGATTCTAGGTAAGACCCCAAGAAGGGATGAGATGGGAAGTGTGGATAGAGGAAGAATAGGTTGGTTAGAGGAAGGGTTTTTGTAAGAGGGAAAGAACCAGGGCTTAACCCAGTAGCTGAGCTGATGGCGATTCAGGAGGTCGTGCGCAACTTGGGGACTGGAGGGGGGGGGGAGGGGGAGGGGGCGACAAAGAGTGATCGCAGGTACAAAGGGCGGTATTAAAGGTCCATACCTAACCGTTCAATATAACGAACCCAAATGCTTTTAAAGACCTGTTGTACCTGGCGGTACAAGATATCAGCGTGAGCACAGTCAATAGAACAATTAAGAGAATGAGAATATTAATGTATATATCAGATTTACCATATATACGCACCAAAATTATTTACAAGTGCGTATTTACACTTTATTCAGTGGGCTTAAAGAATACCATAATGTGTTATCCTGTTTCCTGACGAACTTTACCTACCTACCTGTCTACCATAACGTGAGTGGGTTTTGACAAGAGAGAGAGAATGTAAGTATGAGAGCTCTCACTGCCACAGCTTGAGACACTCATACAAACAGACTCTAGTATGGCGTTAACCATCTCAAGGCTTGTGAGGGTCTGAAGCTCCAGGGTGACCCACGCTTACAAAGTAACTTATCCCAGGGTACCTACTCCTCACCCTGACTGACAGACCTCCAGCACAGACTAGTAGTTACCTCGTAACTGAATGGTGCAGTCATTGGGACAGGCGATGAACTACCGTGCTTTGAAGCTAGTTATTGATGGCATGTATAAGAGAAATGGTATAAAATATCGACAAAATGGATAAAGACAAATGTAGTATAATGCAATCCTTTATTGACAACGTTTCGCCTACACAGTGGGCTTTTTCAAGTTTATGACTTGATAAAACCCATTATGGGCGAAACGTTGTCAGTAAAGGATCACTTTATACTGTATTTGTATGCTTATCCATCATGTGGTGTAGGAATGTGGCTACATGTGATGCACGTCTTATATAATGTTATAGTTGGCCTACACCATATTTACCTGCCCCTTCACTTTCTCTCGAGCTCTTCACCTGCCCCTTCACCCACCCTCTAACAGTGATGCAGGTGAATAGTTAGATGGTCTAACCATTCACCTGCACCATCACACTGTATCCACTCATCCTTATCCCACCAACCTCCTAATATGCTTTAACTCACTCAATGCCCATTCACACATCCAATACTCCTCTACCCTCCCAGTACTCCTCTACCCTCCCAGTACTCCTCTACCCTCCCAACACTCCTCTACCCTTCTAATACTCCTCTACCCTCCAATTACTCCTCTACCCTCCCAGTACTCCTCTACCCTCCCAACACTTCCTCTACCCTTCCATACTTTCCTCTAACCCTCCCAGTACTCCTCTACCCTCCCAGTACTCCTCTACCCTCCCAATACTCCTCTACCCTCCCAATACTCCTCTACCCTCCCAATGTTCCTCTACTCTCCCAATACTCCTCTACCCTCCAAATGTTCCTCTGCTCTTCCAATGTTCCTCTACTCTCCCAATGTTCCTCTACTCTCCCAATACTCCTCTACTCTCCCAATATTCATCTATTCTCCCAATGTTCCTCTACTCTCCCAATGTTCCTCTACTCTCCCAATATTCATCTATTCTCCCAATGTTCCTCTACTCTCCCAGTGTTCCTATACTCTCCCAATGTTCCTCTACTCTCCCAGTGTTCCTCTTCTCTCCCAGTGTTCCTCTACCCTCCTAGTGTTCCTATACTCTCCCAATGTTCCTCTACTCTCCCGGTGTTCCTCTACCCTCCTAGTGTTCCTATACTCTCCCAATGTTCCTCTACTCTCCCAGTGTTCCTCTTCTCTCCCAATGTTCCTCTACCCTCCTAGTGTTCCTATACTCTCCCAATGTTCCTCTACTCTCCTTGTGTTCCTCTACTCTCCCGATGTTCCTCTACCCTCCTAGTGTTCCTATACTCTCCCAATGTTCCTCTTCTCTCCCAATGTTCCTCTACCCTCCTAGTGTTCCTATACTCTCCCAATGTTCCTCTACTCTCCTAGTGTTCCTCTACTCTCCCAATGTTCATCTACCCTCCTAGTGTTCCTATATTCTCTCCATGTTCCTCTACTCTCCAAGTGTTCCTATATTCTCCCAATGTTCCTCTACTCTCCAAGTGTTCTTATATTCTCCCAATGTTCCTCTACTCTCCAAGTGTTCCTATATTCTCCCAATGTTCCTCTACTCTCCAAGTGTTCCTCTACCCTCCTAGTGTTCCTATATTTCTCCCATGTTCCTCTACTCTCCAAGTGTTCCTATATTCTCCCAATGTTCCTCTACCCTCCTAGTGTTCCTATATTCTCTCCATGTTCCTCTACCCTCCTAGTGTTCCTATATTCTCCCAATGTTCCTCTACTCTCCAAGTGTTCCTCTACCCTCCTAGTGTTCCTATATTCTCCCAATGTTCCTCTACTCTCCAAGTGTTCCTCTACTCTCCCAATGTTCCTCTACTCTCCCAATGTTCCTCTACCCTCCTAGTGTTCCTCTACTCTCCCAATGTTCCTATACTCTCCCAGTGTTCCTCTACTCTCCCAATGTTCCTCTATTCTCCCAGTGTTCCTCTATTCTCCCAGTGTTCCTCTACTCTCCCAATGTTTCTGTACCCTCCCAATGTTCTTCCACCCTCCCAGTATCTCTCCACCCACTCTATATTCCACCCCTCCCTATATCTCTCCACCCACTCCGTACTCCTCTAATCCTCACAATACCTCTCCACCCACTCCATACTTCACCTTCCCAATAATAATCCACTCACCCAGTACCCCTCCACCAACCAGATACCAATCCACCCACCTTATACCCCTCCACCCATCCATTACCCCCCTCCACTCATCCTATACCAATCCCACCAACCTTACGCTAATTCAGCCACCTAATGCCGCTTTAACCTATCCAATACCCCTTACACCCCCTCCAATATTCCTCCACCTGTCACTAAACCCAAATTTACGCACCTAATACCCCCCCCAACAGACCCAATACCTTCCACCTAAACAATACCAGTCCACATACCTAATGCCTCCACCTGAAGAATACCCCTCCACCCCACACAATACCGCCCCCACTCACCAATATCAATCCACCCACCTAATACCTCTCCAACCACACAATATCACTCCACCCACAAAATTCCCGTCCACCTACGTAATATCCCTCCACTCACCTAACAACTCTACACCCACCTAAAATCCATTCATCCACCTAAGAACCCTCCACAAACCTAAGAATCCGACATCCACCTCGGAACTATCCACCTACTTAAGAACCCTCCACCCACCTAGTACTGGTCGAGCCTCCAGCGTCGTCTCTTACTCAAGACACGAAACACTGTCATTATGGTTAGTAGGAAAGACCCACAAGGTCACCACCACTTACCTCTCAAGCTGACTCAACCAAACTCACTTGCTCACTGTGGCACCTGTTTGGTCAGTGCTGTCACCATGGTAATTATATGATCATTCTGTTCACTGTGGCAGTTGTATGATCACTGTGGCAGTTGTTTGCTCACTGTGGCAGTTGTATGATCACTGTGGCAGTTGTTTGATCATTATGGCAGTTGTTTGCTCACTGTGGCAGTTGTGTGATCACTGTGGCAGTTGTTTGATCACTGTGGCAGTTGCTTGATCACTGTGGTCACTGTGGCAGTTGTTTGATCACTGTGGTTGCTGTGGCAGTTGTTTGATCACTGTGGTCACTGTGGCACTGTGGCACTGTAGACAGCCTGTACTGTCAGAACACACAGCCTAGCCGTCTGCTCTGACTAGTTCATATTTCGCGGCATTTAGGTGCTGCCCTCTGTAGGCTCACCCAGGTCAGTGGGAGGCTCAGCCCAGCCGCTCTCACTCCTAGGCCGACCGACTTGACAGACACAAGTGCTCCCCCTCCACGGACTGGCTTGCGGTCACTCCCTCACATTGCCCGTTGTGTACTCACTCCTACCCAATTAAAGCCAAACTAGTCCACGGCCGTATCATTGCTACCTACGCTACCTTCATCGGCACTAAACCGCTGTTCAGCAGTGAGAATAGCAATAACAGTACTAACAATACACACAGTGGTACTAACAATACACACAGTGGTACTAACAATACACACAGTGGTACTAACAATACACACAATGATACTAACAATACACACAGTGGTACTAACAATACACACAATGATACTAACAATACACACAATGATACTAACAATACACCAATGATACTAACAAACACACAATGATACTAAAAATACACCCCAATGATACTAACAATACACACAGTGGTACTAACAATACACACAATGATACTAACAATACACACAATGATACTAACAATACACACAGTGGTACTAACAATACACAAAAGTGGTACTAAACAATACACACAGTGGTACTAACAATACACACAATGATACTAACAATACACACAGTGGTACTAATACACACAATGATACTAACAATACACACAGTGGTACTAACAATACACACAGTGGTACTAACAATACAAAACAATGATAATAACAATACACACAGTGGTACTAACAATATACACAGTGGTACTAACAATACACACAGTGGTACTAACAATACACACAGTGGTACTAACAATACACACAATGATACTAACAATACACACAATGATACTAACAATACACACAGTGGTACTAACAATACACACCCGTGGTACTAACAATACACACAGTGGTACTAACAATACACACAATGATACTAACAATACACACAATGATACTAACAATACACACAGTGGTACTAACAATACACACAGTGGTACTAACAATACACACAATGATACTAACAATACACACAGTGGTACTAACAATACACACAGTGGTACTAACAATACACACAGTGGTACTAACAATACACACAGTGGTACTAACAATACACACAGTGGTACTAACAATACACACAGTGGTACTAACAATACACACAGTGGTACTAACAATACACACAATGATACTAACAATACACACAATGATACTAACAATACACACAGTGGTACTAACAATACACACAGTGGTACTAACAATACACACAATGATTACTAACAATTTCACACAAATGGTACTAACAATACACACATGGTACTAACAAAACACACAGTGGTACTAACAATTTCACACAGTGGTACTAACAATACACACAGTGGTACTAACAATACACACAGTGGTACTAACAATACACACAGTGGTACTAACAATACACACAGTGGTACTAACAATACACACAGTGGTACTAATAATACACACAGTGGTACTAACAATACACACAGTGGTACTAACAATACACACAGTGGTACTAAAAAATACACACAGTGGGACTAACAATACACACAGTGGTACTAACAATACACACAGTGGTACTAACAATACACACAGTGGTACTAACAATACACACAGTGGTACTAACAATACACACAGTGGTACTAACAATACACACAGTGGTACTAACAATACAACAATGATACTAACAATACACACAGTGGTACTAACAATACACACAATGATACTAAACAATACACACAGTGGTACTAAACAATACACACAATGATACTAACAAATAAAACACAATGATACTAACAATAC